GGCGCGGTCGGGGGGTGGGGGGGGGGGGGGCGGAGGGGCAGTCCTGGGGACCCCTGTGGCCTCGCTGACGCCCCAGTTCTCCCACAGCTGATGCTGTCGGCCGTGCTCGCCTGCCTCCTCGACGCCCTCAGCCACCTCCTGCGGTGAGTGCCCGGGACCACCCGACCCCCAGACCCATGTGCCTCGGGTGGGGAAGCTGAGGCAGGGCACAGGGCAGCAGTTTGCGTGTGCCGGCATGAAACCCCTGTCCCCTAACGCCCTGGGTGGGACAGGGCCGGTGCCACTTTGGGATGGCAGGGGTCCACGTCCCAGCACCTTGCACGGGACCCCGAGCCATGACCGGGAGTGGATGCAGCGACATGTCCCACTCTCTCGCCCGCAGGAAGGAGGTGGAGAAGCGCTGGCTGCTGGATAACATGGAGGGGACATTCCTGGTGGTGGATGAGATCGTGGACAGGGGGTGAGCTCCTGCGGAGGGGGAAGGAGGGGGAGAAGCAGCCCACAGATCTGGGGGTTGCAAGGACAGGGGGTGGCATCGTCCCTCAGGGTGCTGGGAAGGGGCTGGTCCCATCTCTGGCCCCATCTCAGGGTGCCAAGGGGGAGCTGGGCACCCCCGTTTGCCACCATCGTCAGGGCATCCCAGGGCTTTGCACAGGGAGGGAAACTGAGGCACGGGGCGGTGGGGGTGATGCCCGGTGGGGTGCAACTGGGTTTGGGAGGGACCCATGCCAGGAGGATCCCAGTGGGATCGGCACAGCACCGCGCGGCTCCGCAGGGTGATCCTGGAGAGCGATCCTCAGCAAGTGATCCAGCGGCTGAGCCTGCGGGTGAGTGCAGCCATCCTGTGCCATGGCCTTCATCCACCCTCCTCTGCCTCTTCCCACCCTCCTCAGCCTCTCTCTCCCCCTCCAGGCCCCAGAGCCGGTGGCATACGGCTTCGTCCTCTTCGACTACCTGTCGGGCAGCTCGGAGCGAAGGGACTCAGGGGACACTGGCCAGCACGAATAGGCATCGCCGAGGAGGTACAAACCCTTCCCTGTGTCCGAGGGGTCCGGAGGGGATGGGAAGGGATTGGGGTTGGGGTCCAGCCGCTGCCGGAAAACTCCCAACTACGGCAGACTCGTGGGTGATAGGCACCGAGCAGGATGGGTGCCGAGGGGATGCTCCCCACCTTGGGGCACCCAGTGGGTCCCCTTCGCCCCAGCCAGCCCTGCTCCCAAAGCTGCCGGTCCCCTTCCCTGCTCCCCCAGGTTGATGACAACTTTCTGTGCGAGCAGAGCGTGTCCCAAGTTAAAAGTGCTTCGTTAGCCTCACTAATGAGGGGGTGGGTTGACCAGCTTTACCCAGCAGGAAGGAGATGGGGTGCACCCTAGGTCCCACTCCCACTGCCACCCCACCATGGGGTCCCACGCACCCCTAATTGCTCAGCACGAGGTGTGCCCCCCCCTCCATCCAAGGAAACCCAGGCGTCGGGCTGGGAAGGGCACCCCAAGGCCCTGTCCCCATCCCTGGGGTCTCGTACCAGGTCCTGCAGCCCACCAGGGAGCACATCAAGCCATCCCCACTGACGTGACGGCTCTGGGGTCACCCGGCAGCAGGACACACGGACCTTCTCTGGCATCCCCCCCACTCCAACCTCAGCCCAGACCCCGCGCTCCAGCCTGGATACCCGGGCTGGCTCCTCCCCAGTCGCATCGCCTGCAGAAGCCTCTTGCCAGTTCTCATATCCGCCTCTGGCATTTATAATATCGAGGGAAAAAATAAGCACTAATGAAGGAGAATTGATTTGCCATTCCCACTCACTGCCAGCCAGAGCTGGCCACAAATAAAGTTTTCCTCCCCAGTTGGGCGTCCTCTCTCCATCAGCCGTGTTGGGGTGGTGGGTCCCTGTGGGTACGTCACCCATCCAGGCTGGGCTCCGGGGGCTCTTTCGCTCTTTGATGCATTTTCTTTGGAGGAAAAGATGCCATTTCTGGGTTTTCCTGTTAAATCCCGCTCTCTGCGGGTTCATAATTTCAAGCCACTAGAAATCAATGGGGTCCAGCACAGACTGGCCTGGGGCTGGCAGGGAGGCTGTGGCCATGCGGGTCTGGGCAGAAAGGAGAGGAGCCCCCCACCGTCTCCCATGCCCAGGGTGGGGATGGGGGCACGCAGCTGGGCACCCAAATTCTGCCCACCCATGGGTGCCCGCACGTGGAGCAGCTGCGGTGCTTGCACCCACGGGTGGGCATCGTCTGCTCTGCCACGGTCACGCTGCACCAGCCTAGGGACCTCCCCCCACCCTATGGACCCTCCCCATCCTGGG